GAGAGCCCAGTCTGGCCTGGCCACATCCTGCCCTAAGCGGAGAGGGGAGTGTGAGGCTGGGACTGCCTGCCCCTGCCCAGCCAGGGACTCATGGCCAGGATGCAGCTGCAGGGTCAGGATGGGGACAGGGCCAGGGCCAGAGGTGTGAGTCAGACAGAATCCATGCAGAGCCCCCAGTCTGGCCAGCGCCCCAGTCTGCAGCCCTAGCTGTGGTGAGAAAGGCACTGTGCTCCTAACAGCTGTTCTGGCTCTGCTCACTGCCACACACTTCAGCATGCATGCATGTGTGTATGTGCATGTGTGCCCTCCCTTGCATCTCTCCATCCTGGATGTCCCAGTCTGAGGGACAAATGCAACCTCTGGGCCGGGCTCCTCCTGCCACCCACCCAGCCTGGCTCTGGCAACCGCGCACCCCGTATCCATAGCCTGGCCCCGAGGCGCCCCCAGCTCTTCGCGGGAACTTACCTTGTGCCTCCGTCCACCACGCATGTGAGCAGGGCGTGAGCCATGCTGCAGCCCCCCACGGCCACGTGCCGGGGATAAGGGGTGGAGCCAGAGAAGAAGCTGCACGCGCTGTCCCCAGCTCGTCTAATCAAGCGGGGCTGGGGCAGCCCCGCGCTGCACAGCCCTCGGGACAGCGGCGGCAGGACCCGGCTCACTGATGAGCCTGGCCCCGCGGGGGTAAGCAGCTTCCCTCCCCTCTCTGCCAGCTGGGCCCCACGGGCCTGCCCTGCTCACCTCGCCTTGCCGCTGCCCCGCCACCGACAGCTCCGCCGTCTGCACTTCGCGGCTCCGGCTCCACTGCCGGCAGCTCCACGCTCTGTGGTGGCAGTGCAGGCTCTGCCGGCAGCGGCTCCGTGGGCCAGATAAAATGACTTGGCGGGCCTCATGTTGGACAAGCCTGGTGTAGATCTTTTGTTATTTCCAGGGTCTTGCAGAGGAGTCGTCAGTGATTAACTGCATCATAGGTGGCTGTTAGGTCAACGAACGCATCTCTGCTGATTTGACCTCTTTTGAAAAAGTCTTCAGTATGTTGAGTTAGATTGAACAGCAGGCTCATTGTTGATTTTTCCAGAGTAAAAACTGCCCAGTTCAGGGATTAGGTGTGTATCCACGTATGGGGCAAGCCAGTTCAGTATCAGTTGTTCATACAGTTTGTATATATGGCAGAGCAGATAGATCTGAAGCTTTTTACATCAGATGGATTTTTCCCTGGCTTTAAAAGTGCCACTACCTGGGCATGTTGCCATATGTTTGGGATTTTTTAACTGACTCTGCATGAGTTGTATAGGCAGAAGAGCCATCCTCAGGTCTGTGACCAAATTGCTTGATTTTTTTTTCAGGGAGCATATCGTCAAGGCTAGCTGCTTTCCTGATCTTCAGTGCATTAATGCCAGTTGTCAACTCTGTCATTAAGAAGGGGTTTGTAAAACCCAGGTCTTTAGGGTACTTGTACTTTTAAGTTTGAATTTTTTTGTTTGTTTTTAGTTTTTGGGCTTCTTCCATTGAGAAGCATCTGGTGGGTAGTTTGTTTAGTGGTGAGTTATGATGTTGATCTACCTTTGGTGGATAATTGCTTAGTTTACATTTTGTCACCCATGCCTTTTTACTATTATGCATCATATCAGTTGACTCAATCAGGGCCTACCAGGCCTTCTTGCATTCTTCTGTGGTGACTGACATGAGCTCCTTGCTTGTAGCGATGGCAGTTCTGGAAAAGGATCTAGTAGTTCATGCTGTTGCCTACAGTCTTGATTATGTCTTGCATGGGGGTGGGAAGGGGCAAGGGCAGTAGGGGTCCTGCTGATGTACATGGGTGGTCTGCCTTAGAGCCCACAGGGCTTGGTGTCTGCTCTAAGAGGCTGAAGTGCACAGGGACTGGGGGTGATGAGCCTCAAGGGCTCCCATGCAGGGCAAGATGCTGCTGGCAGGTCTGGGCCCAGGCTGTAGAGGTTCCTGTTGTCCAGTGCAGTGCATTTGGTGTCTGGGTACAACACTGAAGTCCCACCAGGAGGGAGAGATCAAGGCTGAAGGCACTTAGATGTTGCAGACAGGCCTCTTTGCTGTGCTGAGGAAGATCATGGGCCAAGGCCCCCAAGAAACTCTAAGTCTCCGTTACGATGGGAGGTGGTGATGAGCACATCATCTGATTTCTTGGGATAAATAAAAAAGAAAACGGGGAAGGGAGATAGGTTAGAGGTTAATAACAAGGGAACCAGAAGGGGACACTGAGCAGAGCACACCAACCAGTGCCAGCTGCTTCCTGAGCAAGTTGAAGGAGTCTATAGACACCAACCAGTGAAACTCTGCTAGGAGATGTGAATGGAGGAGCAAGGGGAATACAGCCCCACACTTGACCAGGTTTCCCGCAGCCAGCCCCTCCTACTGGATCTGCTGGATGGATATGCCAGACAGGCCTGTTCTGTTTGATGTGCTGAAAGATCTTGAATTTAGGCCCATCATGGAATCTTGTAAGCCTCCCTTTAGTAAGGGAGGCCACTGGGGACACATTCAATTAATTCTGGAAGACAAATAGAGAAAAAAAACAGGAAAGCGAGTGAGGTCATAGCTTCAAAACCAGAGATCTGAAAGGTGACACTGAGTAGAGCACACTGGCCAGTGCACACTGCCCCCTCTTCCCCGAATGAATCAAGGGGAGCCGGTGGACACTAACCAGCGAAACTGCCTAGAGAGGCAAGCGGAGGCGTGACAGGAAAACAGCCCCACACTGACTTGGGTTCCCCCCAGTCAGAATCTCCTTCCTGGTATGGTAGACAGGGAATGTGCAGAGAGCCATCTGCTTAGGCAGTTAGGAGAGGGAAAGGCAAAAACCTTCACATGTTTTGAAATGCAGTAGGTGGGGGGTTGGGAAATGAGGAGCTGTGAGTAGTCTGGCACTGGTAGCCAAAGAAGTGAACTAAGAGGAAACGACAGACACAGTGGAAGAGTCTCGTGCTAAGAGCAGTCCTCACATCTTCTATGGGACTCCTGAGGAGGTTCCTCTGGCAGGTTGGCTTCCAGCCTTTTCAGTCTAAGATACTTTTTAGTGCCTATGTGGAAGAGACCTTCTGAAATCTTAACTCTGATTATCTTTGGTACAGTAGTAGTTTCTTGGCTGAAGTCACTTGATGCATCCCAAACACCAGTCAGTCTGTTCTCCCTTTTTAAATTAACTGAATTACTAGATTAGAACCAGCAATCACCCGAAACACACCAAAAAAGCAGTGATATACAGCCAAGCCCTCAGATACCACCGCATCTGTACTGAAGAGAACACCTGGGATTGCCACCTCACCAATCTTAAAAAGGCTTTCACCCAGCAAGGACACTCCTCCAGAGAGGTAGATCGCACGTTTGAAAGAGCCACCCGGATACCACGTGAAGAACTGCTGCAGTACAGAAGAAAAACACCCACAAATTGCACACCGCTGGTTATGACGTATCACTCATCCCTTGAACCTGTACGGAAAATCCTCAAAAAATTGCAACCTATATTAGAAAGAGACCCTATTCTTAAAAAGATCTTCCCAGAGCCACCCATCCTAGCCTTCAGACAAGCACCGAACCTCGCCAACCTCATCACCAGAAGCAAACTTCCTCAAGCCCAGAACACACCAAAAGGATCCAGACCGTGCCAAGACAAGAAATACAAAACCTGCCAACACATCTCCACCACCCCCACTATTACTACACCCCACAACAGAGCCATCAGCATCCCAGGATCTTACAGCTGCACCTCCAGAAATGTAATATACCTCATCCAATGCACCAAATGCCCTGATGGAAAATATGTAGGAGAGACCAGACAACAACTGCGCACCAGAATGAATGCACACTGGAAATCCATCAAAGACAGAAACACCCAATTACCTGTGGGGGCACATTTCTCACAGGAGGGCCACTCTCTCTCCAATCTCTCAGTCCTGATCCTCAAGGGAAACTTACACAACACTTCCCAGAGACAAGCCTATGAGCTCCATTTCATCAACCTGCTGGATACTAGAGATCAGGGACTAAACATAAACATTGGATTTTTGATACATTACAATCTGCCTGGCAACTGACTCCCCAGCCCAGCCCCTGGCTTCTTTACTTTTCATTCCATCCAGGAAGAGCACACACCAACTGCTGCAGCTTCCTTAGCCTGACGAAGGGTTTTTGAACCCGAAAGCTTGCTTAATAACTATTCTCCAACCATTTGGGTTGGTCTAATAAAAGATATCAAATTCACCCAAGGAAACTTGTCTGCCTTTACTTCTTGTCATGCATTTGAAAGCAGGGTGTGACTCTGGAGGGGTCATCCCAAGCCCCAACCACCAGTTTGCTACATCTCACTTGTCATTTTTAAGAGGTCAGGTATTCTCCACAGCATTGCACCTGCTTTTGGCTTAGTCAATTCATTCCTTCTTGCTGCAGGATATGCTCCTTGGTGCTTTCCTCAGCTGTGTTTTACATTATTATTTTTCATCACTATGTTCCTGCGAGCAGGATAACTAGTCACTGTCTCCTTTACAGAAATGGCAAAATTCTGCTCTTGTATGTGATGCCCATAAATACAGAATAACTGTATAAACCAACAACTCTATTGATTCAGTTTGGTCCATATCTCTTCTCTATGGACCAAATACTGTCCCATACCATAGGAAGGATAAGAGACTGATAGCCTTTTTGGTACCAGTTTTGTCCTTTCCCTCCTCCCTTCCTGTTCTGTTTCCCTCACTGTGGGAGAGGGATAATTCTGGATAAATGGGCATCATGGCAGGAAGCGAACCAGGAAAGCCAAGGCTGTGACAGAACTCCAACTAGCTACAAGTATCAAGGACAATAAAAAGTTCTTTTTCAGATATGTGGGGAGCTGAAGGAAAAGTAAGGGCAACATTGGACCCCTGCTAAACCAGATGGGACAACTGACAACCGATACCGAGGAAAAAGCCAACCTATTAAATAGGTACTTTGCGTCAGTCTTTCATCAGTCCCATGGGATGCCCCTGCCCCTTACGGGACAGGGAGGCCTGGGTGAGGGAGATCCCCTTCCCTCCATTAATGTTGACCTCATGAAGGAACACCTTGAGAGGCTGGACACCTTCAAGTCAGCTGGCCATGACAATCTACACTCCGGGGTACTCAAGGAGCTGGCTAGCATCATAGCCCAGCTCCTGGCATGGATCTTCAAGAACTCCTGGCGCTCTGGTGAAGTGCCTGAAGATTGGAAGAAGGCCAATGTGGTGCCTATCTTCAAGAAAGGGAGGAAAGTGGATCTGGC